TTGATATTATGTAATAAGAAAGATAAAGTTACATCTCATTTATATTTTTGGTCATAATGTTACTTTAAAGGATGATACTTTTTTCTAGCATTTACGTAACAGATATAATTATCATGTACCAATTAGGAACATATATATAGGAAGGATTATACTATGTTATACTCGTTCGTTATACATTGTTATTTCAAGATGCAATACTTCAGAATCAGCATAAACACTGTTGAGCAATGCTATAAACACTGTATATAGTTTGTTCCATACATAAATGAAGACAACAATTTGTAATCCTGGAGCTTAAATTGGTTTTAAACATAACTCATTTAAGTGAATCTTCATTGTTCATAAATAATATTACTGCATTTTGGTTCCAAAAATGTCTCTTGAAATTTTTTTAAATGATTTGATTTTATGTAAATTTAAGTTTGTTTTATCATAAACTTAAGTCAAAAGTAGACCCACTGATTATTTAATTAACATGATGATTTAAAATCATATTAAAGAAAACATTCATGATGCAATTATTTATTCTTCAATAAGTGATTTGAACTTTAAAACTACGTTCTTTTATTTGCCGTTTTGTGAAGTACGAAGTTATATAAGAAGCGGTTTCTCAGAAGCATTGTCATTGTATTTGTGACTTTTTCAAAAAAAAATAAATCAATGGAAAATGGCTGAAATTGAACATTTCTTTTGAAATAAAAGTAATAACCTACATTTCATATATGTTCTTTTATACGATATCTTGGTGTCAACTAAAGCCAAGAGACGAACAAAAATGCCTTTTATTAACTGGTAAAAAGTGTGAATGTGAAATACTAAGTAGAGTTTTTTTATGTAACACCGGTTAACTACTTTTTTAACAATAAACTTTAAAAACTCCCTGAATTAGGTATGGTTTATTGCAGTCGTAATAATTTTAAAATTTTGACTTTACATTGGTGAATAAAATGATTCGAGCTTACCTTTGCTTGAAAAGTGCTGAAACTTGAATATCATAAGCAGTATGAAATGTTTAAAATCGTTAACTAGTGATGAATTGCTTAATTTTAACAGTGTCTAGACATAATTAACAATATTTCATAACCTGTTTATGATGAAGTGATGTTAAAATATCATAAATCATTCAAAATGGAGTTTTACATATTTTAATAGTTGTCTGGTAAAGCAATTATACGTAAAAAAAGGAATAGAAATGGTCCAGTTCTGAAATTAAGATACAATGCAACATTCAAAACAATAACGTGATAATGCTGCATATTTCGAGGTTCCAGACCCGTCTTCGGTTCGAATCTTGCCGGTCATTTTACGATCTAACAGTGTGTTTAGCTTAGTGGAAGAAAGTCCCATAAACAAATAATCAGATGAATGTCCCATTAAAGAGACATTATCTCACCCAAGTGTAAGAGATTTGTGTGAAGTTAAAAGTCAAAATATATACACATTTTGCATAATTTGCTACAAAATTTAATTTTTACTTCACATTTTTTATCATTAACCCATATGACTTAAGAAAAATTCTATAAATATCATTCGCAAAGTATTGGTAATCTTCAATTTATAAAACGAGTGGGGCAGTCTTTTTATATTTTGGCAGTTTTTATATTTTATCCTAAATTATTTTTTTTTACATCAACTGCTGGCCAATAACCTTTTAAATAGTCAATCTTTTGAAATATAAAGTTAATTCAGCGTAACTTGACAGCGCTAAAATGAGCATTATGTCATTTTAACAAATTATCAAGACCAAAGTCCCATAAACGAATAAACACACGTGACTCCTTTTAACAAATAATCCAGATGAAAGTCTCATAAATAAAATAAATCATATGAAAGTCCCATTAACAAATAAATCAAATGAAAGTTACAAATAAATCAGATATAAGGATAAGCCTTATCAGTATCTCATATTCTCATAGGAACAGGTATTCACCAAATTAAAAAAAAATATATCTACAAAAGCTTTTTTGGATATCTTTTGTAGTTGAACCTTCACATTAGTTTATTTATGCATGTATATATTTATCTCGTTAGTCATTGTCGAAATTCAGGTTTACAAAACACGTAAACTTAATTTAAACATTATTAAAATGTTTAGATTTTAGAAATTTAAATGTTTGAAAAAATAAGATGTATAAAATTTATTATTCCACCGGCAGATTCGCTCATCTTTTTCGTTATTTGATTCAAAAGGTCTCAAGTGATCGTTCTGTCTATCTGTCATAAAGAAATGCTTTTTGCCTTGTGGCGTTGTGTAGGTATACATGGGACAGTATCTTTAGGATGTTGTCTCCCCTATTCCTAATCAGAATAAGCACATATTTATTAAGTGAAATTGTATGACATGTTGCATGCTTTTAAATTCCTATGTCTAAAACAGGTTGAGATCAAAGAACATGGAATATAGTGGAAACACTTTTGTACAGTAGAACATTTTGACTGAATGAAACATTCCAGCACGCTTCACATTTCCCCCATTCAAATATATAGGATTGTCGAACACGACATTTGCACAGCTTAAAAAGGAATGTTTACACGTCAGGTCCATGATCCTAATGACGCCAGGAAAATTACAAATACGCTTTATATAGTTCAGCATATTTTTATCAATTCACTTTTTATAAAGATGTTAGAATGGAAATAGACATTCATTTTTCTTGCGTCCTTGTATAGTAATGCACGGTTTATCGTTCAAATTCTGAATGAAAATATATAAACAAATAATCATAGCTGGTTTCAAAAATATTTTAATATAGTTTTCAACGAAAATAACAAGATCAAAAACATTCTTATTTAACTTTTAAAACTTTTGATCTATAATGTATGTTTTCCAATCATGATAAAATACTTTAGGCATGACCAATCTTTCTCAATTATCTACAGAAAAGTGCGTTCATCTTTATATATAACTGTTCAAAGTCAATACTTTGACAGATTTGTTAGATACGTGTTAAATTTGGTTAATGCATAATCTTCAAGATTAAAAACATTTCCGTTTTTTTCAGCGAGTAAATATAACGTTATAAAATGCATGCTAAATCTCAAAGACTTTAGAATTCCAGGAAACAACGATTTTAAATTGATGTATTTGGATAAGAAATAAATGTTTTTTTCCAAACACATAATTATGTTATTTCCCACACTGCATCACAAGATAAAGATTATCAGCATACTGGAAACTAACAAAGTTAAAACTATTTCTTAATTTTATAGATATATTTCACTTATGTATTATATTTGAATATACAGTTATATACTATACATTTTCTTATTTATATTGGACATATTTAGTAATAATTTCCGAGATTTCAATGAAGTCCTGCAAAAAATATATTACTTACCAGACGATTAGCACAGTATAACTGATTGTATGCTTAATGGCTAATTGCGTTGTTTATAATTGCAAAGACAACCTTACAATTTCGTTGAATGCTTTTAGGCAATTTAAAACATATTTCTTGTATTTAACACTGTTTTATACTAAAGTAAAATTGAGCTGTTTTGGGAAATTAATTGCCGAGTATCGTTAAAGAAATCAAGAAAATGAAAAATTCTATGAACACAATTACATATATTTAAATAATACAATTCCACTCTAAGTTGCAATTTGTAATTATATTAATTTTCAATGTGAATGTATAATGATGTTCTAGCATTATGTTTGGTTGACGGACGAACTACAAATTATGTATCACTTAAAATAAATGCAATGCTAAAAGTAGAAGAAACTAACTTATTTAAAAACCTTCATACTGTTATGCATGTAATTCACAATGGTATATCATGTGGTATTGATAAACTTAACAGTTCTCTTTGTGCCTGTATTAAGGGAGTTATATGTGCCTTTTTCTTTAATGTTCCTTGGCAGGTCACGTATGACAGTCTTGTATAAACATTCTGTTATAATTGCTAGCTGTTGAGACCCCTTATTTTTATCCGATTTTTTTATTCACTAATAGTTTATATTTTGTAACTTACATATTAAAAACTAATATACCATTTTAAGATCCTGTAAAACACATTTTTTATGGTTTTATATCATAAATATGATGCTCAAATTAAAATAGATTTATCAATTTTGTAAGTTCCAAAAAGCACTATTTACAAAGATATTACCGATTTTAACATTTCATGTAAATAAAAGGAGGTAATAAAAAAATTATTTTCTATAAGGTCTAAGTCAAATTCTTCAATAGAAATGAATGCATAAAATTTAATGCTTACAAATAATATGTACACAGTACATATTTTACATATTCTTCGATGTTTGAAAATTGTTTTATAAGCATAATTATATATATATATATATATATATATATATATATATATATATATATATATATATATATATATATATATATATATATATATATATATATATATATATATATATATATATATATATATATTTCACTTAAGTGTGGTATACATATATATATATAATTTCACTTAAGTGTGGTATACAACCTCAAATACAACATACAGTGATCTTTAAGTTTTAATAAACAGAAAATATTTTCACGTGTAGCACATTCATTGAAATCTTCATTGCATTGATGTTACTCCTTATAAGTTTTTGTGTTCTTTTTTTCCTTTTATATGTTTGCAATATTTTGTTTTAAACACTATTGACTAGAAATAAGCTATTAAAGCTGTTTACCATGTTATTATCATGCACTTATTATATAAATAGCTAGTTCTTTTATAGTCAGTATGGAATGTATAATATATTTCTAGTCGCTTATAATTCAAAGTTTTATTGGCCAAGTCCTTTTTGGCCATTATTATAAATTATGCAAACCTATGTTCACTAATGAGACTTTGATACAAATTAATCATACATCTTATCTTGTACTTTAAAGTTTTCCAGGTACTCTACATTTCTACAGTTTAGCTTACATAAACTTAAATACCAGCATAGCCCATATTAAAATGCCAAAGAAAATAATCACACCGTTGATTCTGAATTAACGCTTCTAGGCGTTAAATAAAATTGATTCGTTTTTTGCCATTAAACTCAGTGAAATTCAACGGATCGTAATTTTTTCGATGCTATTTACAGTCTTAAGATAATAAATACTGCTGTATAGATTAATTTTATTTCTTCGTTAATTTAACCCAATACTCCTTGGCTTATGAGGATGCTTTACATTTCATGATTATAAAATATGAAATAAATTCCGCTGGTTTTACAGGTAATGCTTCCAGTCGGATTTCTAAGGTCTGGAAAGTGCCATGGAAGACTGTAGTGTGCTTTATATTAGTAATATATAAACATGTGAAAACCAATGTGCTATATATTTTGGCGTTGAAAACACAACAGAACGGAATTGTACTTTCATATTGTTTTAGTTTGGAATTATGTGAAAATATTCTGTTCTTAGAAAATTAGTTATACAATTAAATGAAAAGCAAAAATGTCACAGAAGCGTTTTATGGGAGCGAAAATTGTTTTATTGGGCAGTTCTGGAGTAGGAAAAACTGGTAAGATTTATTTATAATTAAATTAAATATATACCTATACGTTAATGTCCGCACGTTCACCGTCTGTATATTTTCCTTCCTACATGTTCTTGAAATATGTGTTAAGCATATTTTCTTATATAAAGTTTTAAAAAACAGTTGTAAACTTCTTTTCACCATACAGTATCCTCTTTTTACTTTTCAATTAGAAAATAAATATTTCTTTTTAAAACACTATATTGTTGAAAAAATAAATTGCCGTGTAATAGATAATTTCAATTGAAATGTATTTGTATTTGACTTATATGGAACTTTTTCAAACGCATTATGAAATATATTGATATTGATTTATTTAGTGAGCTGTTTAGTTGCCATTTTACTCCGAATATAAAATGTAAGAATATATTTTTCTTTTGTAAAAAAAGAAACTAAATGTACCTTTGAAAATTATGTGTCTCTTTAAAAGTAAAAAGGAGCCTTTGTGGCCGAGTCATTATGGTCGCTGACTCTCGCTGTTGTGGGTTTGAATGCCACAAGGAGCTTAAGGTTATTTCATGTGCGGAAGCTATAATGCAAGCTTGTATATTTTTTTTCACAAACTTATCTATGATTTTATTCAGATAAGAATTATTTCTACAAGTACAATGTAGTTAACTCAATCTCATCTCTTTATTAACAAGTGTTTCATAGTTAATCGGCCTGCAGCACTGTCGATTATCGCCCAACAGCACTGTCATTTATCGCCAAACAGCACTTTCATTTATCGCAACTGTTTAGAAAAAGCAAGTTTAATGATAGATTTTTCATCTTTGCTTTTGTTATTTCAGCCTTTGCTGTCAGATACATTACAAAGAGATATATTGGCGATTATGATCGAGACAAAGGTAACTGATCTCTTTCTTTCTTTTAAAAACTTTCATTAATATATATCATTTACTTATCATGTATATATCTACTGGAACTTTTATAATAAAAATATCTAACATACATGCTTTGCAATGTCCGTATTGAAGTATATGTATTAACTTTGTCATACAGCTTATCTGAACATGCCAAAACTAATTGATGTTTAAAATACAATTTCTTTATAAAACTATTAAGACATACATGTATTTGTTAATATTTATAATAATAATTTCATAAGAATCAACAAGGTTGGACATAGATAATATGAAAATTTGATTAACAAGAAACAACAACACCAACATAAAATCAAATTATTTTCAACCATGACATTTTTAGAACTTTTCTCTTAAAACCCCATGCATGATTTTACAACGATATATATAAATCATGGTATATCAAATATTAACCTATGTGTTCATTTCCACGTAAACAAAACATTATTTAATGATGAATTAGACATAAATACTTAAATAAAACGAGCAGGAATTTCTAACCATCCGTAAAGTGCGTCTTAAAATGCCAACAATTTACTATTCTTTTACGTTTCTTTATAAATATAAATAATGACAATAAATCACGGAAAGAATTTCAGATTTCACGAGAATAGATATGAGTTCGATATAAACGGGACTCTGTTTTACGGTTACGTGGCATGATTGTATAAATGAACCTGACATTTGCAGAATCTATTTTTAATGAAAAAGATACTAGATTAAATATGACATTTATTGTTGAAATGGTGTACTAAATGGTGTTTATCACAATCAGATCTGAAAGGTTTCTGATTTATTCACCATTTTACCAGCAGATAGACTGAACAATTGCCAAAAAACCTATTTTTGAGATTATTGTCCACGCAAATTATGATATATTATATAACATTTTTGTTTGCCTAACCATGATTTAAACTGGCGATATATGTGTAAATAATATGTGTTACTTGGTATATCTGACAACATATCAGAGTTATATGAATAAAACAAATGTTTAAAAGAGGGCATTTTTTGTTTTATGTTAGTATATGAGTGTAATATAAAGTCTAGAGAGTATTTGCAATAAAATACGTCATACATGATGACGTATTAATAAGTTTGAAACATGCTGCTAGGTAACAATAAATAAATAATGTTATGAAATCAATAAATCTTTTTCACCTGTAGCTAACATACTTCATGTATTTATAAAAAAAAAAATACAAATATGTTCAATTAGTTTAAAATTATTATAATTTTTGGTTTAACATGTAAACTTCGGTCATATTTCAGTCGTGTATACCAACGGCATTCATGTACATGTATGGGACATTCATATTCCATCTGATGAAAGTATTTTGCTGTTGCATTTACGCTGCTTAAACTGAAAAGAATTATGAATCAATTTTCAATTTCAAAGAAGTCGAGAAATTTTGTTTTTGTTTAAAACATTATGTTGAATTATAGATTAAGTTTTCATTGGTCGATGAGTACAGAGTATAACTACTTTTACTAGTTACTAATACCATTAATGTATTTGTCGATTATCTTACCGTAAAGTTAACTTTCTTTGAAATAATGTTAAAATTTAAAAATTTAAACATTATTTATTTGTAATATTTACATTTACATATCAAAGTATATAAATATATATTTAACGAATTGAGAAGGAATTTTAAAAAGCTTTTTTTGAAAACTGTCCGTATCCAGTATTTCACTGGTAACAAAATATACAATATATAAACTAAACTAGCATATCATTTCGGCTTGTGCTTGCTTTCTTAAGTATACATACTATCTTTATAATAAGTATTCATGAACTTAATTCAAGATTCATTTAGTACTGATCGATTCGAGGTATAAGCACTAATAAGAATTTAATGAAAATAAAAATGGATAATAAATAAATGGAAAAAATATTTTAAGTGAAACACGACAGTGTTTAAATACAAATATACTGACCTATAATCATTGTAAATAATCATTGATTACATTTTGTCATGTAGGTCTTTGGACTCACGAATCACTAGATTCACGCATCTCTACAACTGCATAATTTTTTCCCAATTTTTTATACAAACAGAAATAAAAGAGAAAGCACATATTTAAAGCAATTTCTATATATTTTCGATATATTTTATTATCAAAATATCACAAAACTGTTGGTGGTAAATTGTAATATATCCGAACTTTGATAAGATAAATGGCGGAACTGGGTGAAATCAGAACAACATTCTATTTTGGGAATGTGACAGATTCAGTCTGATAACATTATTTATGTTATAAATGATGGCTATGCGCTCATTTGATTTCTCCGATTGTAGTTTTACGTCATACAGCCGTTTGTTTATACAACGATTGGTGCCAATTAAACATGTGTTTATAACTCTCTTTTACTCGCAATAACATGCAGTATGCCGAGAAACCATTTTATTACAGTTAAAGCATTTTCATAGATTTGTCAAAGTCACTTGGCAAAAGTGACTTTTAATTTGGTGATGTGCAAAGAAAAAGGGTGGATGATTGTTTTTATAAAACATTAAATCATATTTAGCAAATCAATTCATTTGAAATGTTATTTGTAAAACCTGTATTGTTTGGATATATGAATAAAAACGAAAATGCAAATTAAATCTTCGTTTATTAGATGATTATCCCTTTTTGAATGACAGAACTTATGCACATTGGAGCTATAATGGTAAAATGTTTGTTTGTACACCCGGATAAGATGAGAAATACCGCATTTGCCAGGTTCTAGATACCAACTATTTTTTTCTAAAAGTTTATTACTGTCACGTTTTTAATTGCCAGTGCGCGTACACGAGCTAATTATAGTCTTCATTTGCATGTTACAATCCTTATACGAACTTTAATGTAACCATGGAATTTGTTTCTTTTAAAATCATTATTTCTGAACAATATTTGATTAGATTTACAACAGTATTGTAAAAAAGTTTAATGAAACAGTGGAGTGCTTGATTTTTTAGGTAGACGGTACACTTTTTTCACATATATTTCACATATAAATGCAGCTTTAACTAAGAATACGGGACGGTCAGACGTCATGATGCTTATATATAATATTTTTATAATCAAATTTAAAACACGAAATATATACTCAATTAATGTTTGAAAGTTTCCGAAACTAGAATAACACAAAACCAGATTATTTCAATTTATTTGCACATTCTATATTTTTGTTTCCAAATTCTGTAAATATGCAGGGAGATTATGATGGCCAATATGCAACGAGTTTTCTTCTCATCAAAATGTGTTATGTTTCACAAATAGGCTATAATAATATAAAGTTAGGATTTGAAAATGTTACGGGCGATTTATACGTATCATTTCATTGTTAAAATATTCTAAACGTCTTGATGTGTTCCCACTTACCATGTAACTAAAATAATACCAACAATTATTTTCCACTCCTTTGCATTGGAAAATTAAATCAATAAATACATATGATAAGGAGGATTGTTGAAGCAAAGTAAGCGATAACCTTTGTTCTCCTTTGATAAAGGTAAATAAATGTTTGTATCAGCAGAAAATCATTTGAAACAAAGGAAGCTTCTTGATCAATGTTGAAGTGCAACAGTCGGATAATCATCTAAATAAAACAAAACATAATTATTTATTTGGCATCATTAACATCAATATCTTTAACAACACTATCAAAGCATAGCATACAGATGAGTTTTTTTTATCGTTGAAATAGTTGATTTAAAGCATACTAATTACTTATTTTCTTAATGTAGCACCGGATCGGAAATGTTTTGTCAAAATGTAAACAAAGTACAAATGTAGTATCTGACTTCCATACAAAATACTAATCCACTATAAATGTGCTAATTGTTAAAAAGCAAAAGAAGCAAAAGATGGTTAAAGAAATTGACCAATGCGTAACTTTTTGAAAGTATAACGTGGCATCAAAAATAAAAAGCTTTTGAGAAATCAAAACCTTTACAGGAAAAGAAACAAGATATCATTTAGATGAATAGTTGTTTTTACAACAATGTTTCAACCAATGAAGTCCGAGGCTCTTTATGAAAAATAGTTACTTGTCTGCCAATGAATATCAAATCATTAAACACTATGGCATTTGTTTATCAATTTTGTTTAATTTACAATTATTTAAATTGTAACTCTTCGAATACACAACCTTTTTTTAAATTAAATTTATCTTAAAATCAATACGTTTCCTGTACAAAACGAATAAAGGGATTTTTATTATTATTCTGATATGTACTCCAATCCTTCGGTAAAACTTTTTTCAAAAACAATAAGTTTGGTTCTCAATCATTACCTTGATATAACTTTTGTAATACTTTAGATTATCAAAAATCAAAACACAATGATAAATAAATACTGCATATCAGCAGAATGCATCTAAATACTGATCGTGTAAAGTGCATCTGCTTTCATAATTAATTTCGAAAGGATTTATTATAAGTTAATGTATGCTTTCATTTATTTCATCTGATGTGAATATTGTAATGTTAATTTGCTTCCCTAGTGTTTGTTTTATGGCATAAATGTCTGAAACTTAGATATCATTTTTTTGAATCAAAGAACTCACAATGTTATGTGCTATTTACTGTTGTGAAATCGTGTTAATTGGTTTTAATCAAAATTTGATCAAAAAAGATTTCTGATGTACGCATTATTACAGCAGAAGAGATGAAAGTTTGCCAAATATCTGACAGGAATAAAAACATACATTTCCAAAGATGCTATCTTCGAGAGAAATGTAGACTATAATATTATACTTTATAATTCTTGAAACAGACGATAGGCAGATGTATAGGCGCTTTTTACGTCTACATCTCTGCGATGATCAAATTCTCTATGTAGATTTTAATCAAATGTTATTCTATCTAACACCCGTGAAGGGGTTTGCATGTAGAAAAGAATAAAAAAAAACGTAGCGATATAAGAAATGAATATTATGAAGTACAGTGCATGCATATAGAGACAAATGACCATTTAACTCCATGTCCGATATCAATGCACAGATACCTGACTTGTCTAATAATTATCACATAAGTGGACACAATAAGAATCGCACCACAACCTATTTGTTAACAAAAGAGCACATATCAATGTTTGTGGTTAATTCTATAGTTATTCAAATAAAAGGTCAGAGTATGGATATATCAAATGTCACGAAGATATTAAGAGTTACTATTCCGATGCCCTCCCACGTGAACTAAGCGGACGGGCAATGCTATCCGAGAAGAAAGCATTCGGTAAATAAATACAAAAAAATTCTACCGAAATTGCATATGTATTTCATGCAATAACTACAGAATATAAATCAATATTATTATAAATCAAAGTATATTATAAACTATAATGATCATAACAGTTCAGCAATTACTAATCCATTTATTTTAACCTAGTAAATGAGTATGGTTATTTGTAGAAACAAACTAGGCCTGTATTCAGACAATCAAGTTTATCTAGTTCATGATTAATAATGCAATGCTCATCAGAGTGCAGTTTAATGCCATAAAACCATATGTTTACCAAGTAATTAATGCCATTTTACATACGTTTCTACAGCTCTTACACTCGCGGAACACGTGCATAACGTGCTGAAAAAATGACTATTTGGTTAGTAACTATAAAAATATGTAGTTCCACATCAAAGAAGCTATAGTATTGTTGTGTTTATTTTTAAATTATAGTACACCACTTTTAGTAAGAAATATGAGAAAAAATAATATTTTCCTTTGGCCTTTATTAAAACTTTGAGAGGTAAAAGACTCCTTGTTTGTCGCGTGAGTTCCTACCCCGGGCAAGCCGTTGACTCCTTAAGCAAGACATTGTTCACCCATAGGAACTATTTTCGTGATTGTGTTTATATACTTATATATATACTTACATAATCAAACCATTCGCTACATTCTTTATCATCTAAATAATATTATAAATTTTGTTCCTATGAGTAAAGATGTATAACTGAGAGCAAATGATTAGGAACCGAATCCCCCAAACTTGTTGTGCACCAACGCTGCTTCTTAGACAGATGTCTGATATTTCAGAATAATTTTTTTAGGTAAATAGATTTGTAGAAAATTATTGCCTTCATGTCGTTGTCTCTTGATTAAAGGAGATATTGTACGTCAAATAACCATGAATTCCTTACATTTCACAGTGTTGTGATCAAATTTGTATCTATGGCATAACTTAGTATACACTGCAATGTAATATAATATAATACCACACCACACCAACACGACTAAGGCTGACCCACGTTTACAATTTTTTGTAAACGTTTACAACATTGCTAATAACCGAAACGATACCGTTTAAACGGTGGTACCTCTATGTACTATACACACCATGTATTTGAGTCGCCAAATGATGTATTTCTTTCTATTTTTTTATACATGTACAAATAAAGAATGTGCAGGGCTCATCACGATTGAGTCAGCACACATTTTTTGCATTTTATCCCGATTTTTTACCAAAAATGTATTATGTCACGAGCAATTTTGCACGGTAATGCTGTGGGGAGGGTTGTAAACACCTATTTTCCGTTTGTTTACTTTGGAATAAACCACTAGAATTGATAAAATCCATGATTAAGAAATTTTGTAAGACAATATGGTCATTTCGATTAAACGGTAAACAATATCGTAAACGTTTATGAATGAAAATCGAAACGAATCCGTTTAAACGTGTAATCGTGGGGGCCTTGAACACGACACGACACCACACCATAATATACTATATAGTACCATACCATACCATACCATACCATACCATACCATAATTTATTATATAATCTAAATTGCCTTCACAACCTTTTGTAACATTGTTGCCTAATAGTCTTGCATTTTGGTACAGCGCTCATTTTGTCGACAACATTTTTATATTCATAGCTTAAAATTCTATATTTATGTTCTTTTTTCAAACTGATTAAATTAACTTTGTTAAATGCCCTTTTGCATGTTATAAAGGAATATATACATATTAGACAAAACATCAAGACATGTCGAGTTACCTGTATTCTAAAGCCTGTTAAATAACACTTTAAAGATAATTGATAATATGTGATATTATGAATGTAATATTGCATTTACATGATTTTATATTTGAAGCTTTTTATGCTTGTAACCTAGATATTAACCAATATACTTAACAAAATAAGAATCAAACGCCATAAATGCCCTAATAAAATCTTCAAGCCTCTATACTTCAGCGAAAACATCTGTTCAAAAGAAAGTATAAAATATGTACTCGTACATAGATATTACCTTATTGAAAGTATAGAATCTTGTTTTTGATATTTATTTATTGTGAAGTGCGGATATAAATGCTAACTTATGATTATTAAAGTTTATGATTAATGTTTATGAACATTTACCCTAGAAAGAAACCAGACAGAAATCATGCCTCCAAATGAATTGGTACATTGTACAGTAACGTGTGCAAAATGTTGCTGTTTTAAACGTCTACCCTTGATATGTATATTTTTTTCTATCATTTAGAAACCAAGATACTTTTAAGATAAATTTCTGTTAGACAATTCGATATACGACTCTTAAAAATGAAATTTAGTCGAAACTTTTTTTTATAACGAATACACCGAGTCGACAATTTACGGCCATTTCTTCTCTTTATTGATCTCAGTAAATCATTTTGTTTCTTCAAATGTTAAACTTACCTTAAGACAAACCGATATAAACAGAAGCATGACCATATTAATACTAAATATGATGTTTTAACAAAAAATAGATCTAATATTGAAAAAAAATCTAAAAAAAAATCAGTTATATATCATATATTTGATTGAAAGTTGTTATATTTAAACATCACCTTGTATTTCTAACAATTTTACAGAGATGTTGTATACTCACAAACTACCGACTGCTAGGGACGAAGTCACGCTCGAAATCCTTGACACTGCTTCACAAGTAAGACATACTATTTTTTTTTATTTGTCAATTATAACACTAGTCAAGATTTCTATACCGGACAGTATGCCAGGCTGATGAAAAACTTTTTATATAACTAGGAAAAGAAAATTTGTGAATTATTTTATATCATATTAATCTTATAACGTTTGTGATTAAATGAAAAAAAAAGAAAAAAAACTCAATTTTAAAATGTCAAATAGCAAACATTTTAGAAATATTATATGTTTCTTAAGCTTTAATTATAAAATATTAGCTGTTTAGCATAAACCGTTAAACATATTTTATTAATGATAGACTTTACACTTAATAATATTCAAAACGTTACGGTGTTGTCAAGAACGAATAACTCTGTTTTCAAAGAAGATATTGTCACATGATTTATCACAAAATGTTTAACAGTATCGCTTTCCGTTTTATATTTCAGCCGTCAAAAGAAAACCTTGAAAAACATATAAAATGGGGAGATGGTTTCATCCTCTTATATTCTTTGACAGAAAAATCGACTTTGACATATTTAGACATTGTTAAAGAAGCAATCGAAAAAATTAAGGGTCGCGAATGCCCGCTGGTGCTTGTTGCCAACAAATGTGACCTCATGTCTGCGCGAGAAATAACGGAAGATGAGATAAATGAAACTGGAGAACGCTTCGACTGTCAAAAATTTGAAATATCGGTAGCAGACGGAAGCCAAGGTGTATTTGAGGTGATGGACGAAATATTATGCCAGCTAAAGAGGGAATATATAAAGAATTTGAATTCTGGAAATGTTTCACCAACAGACAGTAAAGCCAAATCAAAACTTATCAGCATGAAACGAGCGTTCAAAAAACGTATAAATAGAAGTCACAGTGATACATTTTGAACAGACTTACATTGATAATACTTAATAATTATTCCAATCATTATTTATTTGTATTGTTTATAGTCATTGAGCACATCTGGCATTTATTTCCAAATCTTTCAATTTTTAAAAGTTGAACAATATAAACTTCTTTGAGATGTTCATTTAAAATGAACACATTTAACTGAAGTTTGAATCATACAGCGGCTATTGGTAAATAATTTTTGTTTTATCTACAGGAATGATGATAGGGTTTGCATAACATCCTGTTTGCATATGACATTAATTTATATTAACCGGTTATTACTTACATTTCTTAATCAAATTGCTTCAAATATGGTAAAGTTGTTATGTAGTATTGTTAACTGTTTTTTTTAAAGGAATAGGAATGGATGGATTGATGTCTGTCTAATATAAATATTCATCATTTAAAAAGAGGTATCATGACAGTTTTTCTGTTGACATCAACCCTATAAGTGAGAAATTCGTGTTTTAAGACACTATTTTTTACTTGTGAAATAAGTTCATGGACACCGCTATTTTGGCGTTCTGTCATTCTCGCGAGACAGACGAGACCGAGATTGTGACGTTTTACACCCACTTCCGGTATAGGTGTACACGCTGGTAAAACTGAAATATATCTTGATGAAGAAATTATTAATCTTATTGCGTACATTGTATAATATTTATGAAAACATCATATGGAATTGAATTGCTTTAATTAATTAATTAATTGAAGACGCCGCGACATTAATTATCATTTGTCCGATTTTCAAGCTTGCTGATGATCCCACCACATGATTTAAGCAAATGACTGCTTAATTTCCAAAGATAAACTATCAATTTAATTTGGGTACTATGAGAAACTTCTTCAAATTGACGATATATCCTTTTATTTTGTACTTATTTTTCGCTAGACAAGCTGGCCGAATAGGGTACATAGCTGGTCATGTATCTTTTATATTCAGCGTAAAATATCAACTAAATCCAATATGCAGAGATCTGCTGAGGACGCGATTGTCCGCCATTGACGCTAAAAATGAGAATGGCGCAGGAAAATCGGCAGCCAGAATAATATCGTATGAAAACAAAACTGTTCGTTAGGTTAATTAGGCACCCAGTCAAAACTGGTACCAACAGCAACAGGTTACCCATTCCCCTGTAATTACGCATATTCTCGGGTTTATCCAGTTCCCTATAGCTTTTTTTCCACGTTATCTACTTACCCAATCCCTTTCCCACACATATACGCATTTCTACTACCGTAAATTTAATCCAGTAAAACAAAAAATCATAATTCTACTTAATATTTAAAATCATTATTGGTAACTGAAAAAAAATGTGTTGCTATTTTATGAAATGCTGTAATTTACAGTATAACTTGACAGGTGCGGAACTTAAGCCCTAAGGTCATTCAGTTCACTAATGACGCGTAAAAAATAGATGTCTAGTTCGTCATTAGAATATTTGACATGGGTGATTAGCCAATCAGGGCAACATCGTGCATGATCAAAAGGTCTGTCGGCACAGAGGCATACAAGGAGCAATAAAAATCGTCAGTACACAGTGTGACAGGAGCATTTGGTGCAAATTAGGAACAATTTAAATGGATAATGCACAGTATTAGACATAAGTAGTAAGAACCAGCAATTGTGTGAATAAATTATGCAAATTAGATTTTTGAGCAGCCAATAAGAATGTTTTGCCTGCAGTTAATATTAGGCTACGTTTACAAAGTAAATAAATACCACGCAGCATCATACGTTGACAGACATGTTAACAATTTACTTTTCTAAATAGTTGCTTATATTTTTGAAATGTGTACATCAATTATAACAAATGTTCACACCTTTTAATTTGAAAGTCAGAATCAAACTGCAAAAATTTAATTACATGTACTATTAAGAACACGTTTTAGTAGGATTTTTATTATATTGATAATTATCGCCGTTCAATAATTAAAAGCCAATTATTCGTTGGTGCGTTTGTTTATTTAATTGCATTATTTGATTGTGAAACTTTGTTCAATAATAACATGTGTATTTATTAAATCTGTGAAATATTGTTTAATTACCTTTAGATGAGACTTTAATGAACATAGCATTGTTTGGAGTAACGGGCATCACTGGCCTGAAGTGGTGCGACCGGTAGACGTTGATTTTTTATTTGTTTCTTTTTTTTTTTTTTTGGATATTGTTACGTATTTTGAACCATAAAAAATCTCCTCTACACCTCCTGTGAAAATTAAATTGTCTGGTCAATACTTTATTATATTAATATTTCGCTACGATTCAACTAGATTTATTGTGGGGAAATGACATCACGCGCACCTGTTTTTATACGGCCAATACATAAACATGGCCGCGCCTGCTGATTTGTAGAAATCGGTGATTTAGCGATTTAAATTTTGTTATCATTCGTTTAATATTATTATTTGTCGGCAGAAAATTTGCAGATTTATTATTTATAGTATTCTTTTTCTGAAATCAAGTTTTTATTCTAACCTTGTCTTTCCCTTTAAGTATCTTTTTTTGTTTGACATGTGTTTTTTTTCTTGTGTTGCTGAAATATTCAATGTTAAATGAACTTTAATTTCTATAATCTTGCTTATTATATAGTTGTATTACGTATACAAATACACTATCATCTTTCTAATTGTTTTAAATAGTTTGATAACCACACACCATGTATTGGAATACAAGTATTGTAAAAATAATTGAAAGTGGAGATCCCCCGAGAGTTATAAGAACTAGAATTAATAGCTTAAAACTTGAGGAGTCAGATTAAGTTTGTTCATGAGAGATTACGATACATGTAGCATCTCTCTCCTCCCCAACACCGACTGAAACATTATTCATTTCTCAAGACTAAAACCACTGGACTCAATTATTACTTCTACTGTAACGCTTTTAGGGGTGTGGACAGCTGTCCTCGACGACAATAAAACGAAAATAAAGAAGGTAAAATTGCAGACTGGTTCTAATGGAATCTTTTCATTAGTGATGTTTTAAAGAACATACTCTTTTATGCTCATCTAACAGCAGCTTTAGCAGTTTAATTGTATTCAATTTTCCAAATTACCTGTAATACGGTAAATATGATCCATGTTAAGCCTTTTTAAAGAAACAAGTATGACCTTAAAACGGTGACCCCATTTAACTTAATAACTCGTATGTGGGTATGGGTATTTTCATTGACAAGTTTTAAGATAACATATTGGGAACAAAGTAACAATTGTATCTTATATTGCATTAATGAAAAGAAAGACTCCTAAATTGCAGATACTAAAAAAAGAATAATATTGATGAATGAATAGGCAAGTTCTACTTCGGGTAGTGTTTTGCATGTAAACAGAAAAAAATGTTTCTAGGAATGACATTTTAAGAAATCGAATACTTTTTTCATAGCATTTTTATTCAACGTGCATTATAAATCAATTAACTGAGAGTACTTGCAGAAATCGAACCCACAGGAGGAACGACTCAACAGGAAGGTAATAAAAGAGCGACACTACATTTTAATAGAAGCAATCATGAGTAAAACAGAAATCAACCCGTCGATGACAATCAATGATTCCAAAAGCATATTATACATATTCCATTGATCTAGATCTCGAAATAAAAACTATATTATGCAGTACAGTGTAAAAAATTATAATGGGTTAAATCATCAAATGTGCTCGTTTTTGTTATTTATTTTAAGTGACCAAGTCTTAAAAATTGGCAAAAATATAATTGCAGATAGGGTTGGTGAAGTAACTATGTAACTCTATCCATGAAGCGTACCTGTCCATGACAAAAAGGTGCGGGGAAGGAGGGGCGGGATGTATAGATTTATAAATTTTAAATATTACACAATACGAAAATACAACTAGCTTGTCATCATATATAACTATATATAACTGTTACCATTGCATTAGAGAAACATTTGCGATGATGAATATCCATCAAATCAAGGCTTATATCATAGTATAGAATAACAATAACTTCTCTCGCAAAGGCATACAGTTTCCCTACAGTGTAAAACAAAAGTATAAGAAAGATGCCAGAAATATGATAATCTTATCTCAATTTTGTAGAAGTAAGAAACTAAAGCAAATCTATATCATTTGCTTATCTTCATATCTTCATCTTATCACTAAGGTTAACGATTGTATACACTGGAATATATTCACGACTTATTGTTTCTATATTGAACAACACTTTTGACATTCAATATATTTTCCCGTCATGTTTGGTTAAGAAAAGATAGTGTATTACAAACAAAAATAAAAGAAATACATAGAGGGTGAAATCAACTTGTTAAGAGCAAATTATAATATATGTCATTAAAAAACCAATACATTGCTCGCTTCGATTTGAAAATGTTCAGATGCGTTTTCTTCGTGCTAATTGACCTTATATCTTGAAGTTATTTTTAACCTCATTGTGACGTCACCACTTTTATTGCCATAGCGGCGAGCTATTTATAGCTACTTTACCGCAGTTGGCCGAATCCTTCACAGTTTTTTTCTTATTATAAATATCTTATGGCAAACACATTTAATATTTTAAAAGGTTGTATATAAAGTTTTTCTTTGCTTTCAAAATTGAATAATACAAAATACAAAACGAGTTTATATATCTGTCATAAATTTATTTGTTTCCAATCAATTTGTTTATAGCGAGCGTTCATCAATATGTTTCCAAATTTATCATATAATATCCATTTTGAAACATCAATGATGTCACAATCATTTAAATACATTCCGACAACCCAGATTTGATCGTATAGGTCTGCTTCGACTATACGAGGGATGTTCAATTATAAATAGAACAAGGCCAACATCTCTCTTTTAACCACGTTTTGCACGAGCTATGTACATGTATCGCATAGATGGTTGTGTAAGCTCTTAATTCATACAATACATGTGTAAATTAGTTCAGTCTAGCTTTGACAATAGCTCGATTAACGTTATCTACTCGTGTATACTAAAGCTAAAATGGTTGGAAAAATGTCTGCTTTCACTGACCAAATCAGCCCTATATCAAAAACCGCTAAATTCTTGGTATACAAGCGAAAGAGATATTTAATGAAGTATGTGATGTTTATGGAACCAATAAACTTTCTTTTGCATCTGTAACACTGTGGTGTAAGAAATTTAAAAGTGGTGTGGAATAAGTAAAATATGCACCTCATACTCGCCGTCCGATAAATGCAACTTCGCCAAAAATGGTTGAAAAAAGTAAAGGATTTGATTGCTACTGATGCAATATTTACAACTAGGTATATAGCTAAATGCGTTGGTATCTCTGTAGGAGCCGCTCATACAATTCTCAGACGTGATTTAAAAATTAGAAGGATAAGTGCCAGATGGATACACCATCTCCTTACAAAACAGTAAAAACTTGCTTGGATAAGAATCTATAAACATTTGTAGAAAAAGTTTTCTTAATACGACAATCGATCTTTCGCAAATATCATCACTGGCGATGAGACGTGGGTTTACTTTTATAAGCCCAAGCAAAAGATACATAACAAAAATTGGGCAACCACAGGAAGTCAAAGACCTTGCTAAGCAAAAAGAACCATGAGCGTCGGAAGGCTATGTATGTAATTCTCTTTACCAGTCAATCAAGGTCCTGCTATTCAAATTGCAGTATCAAAGGGTAGATCTGTAAATGCCAAGTTATACAAAGGCAACGCCTTCATAAATTATTTCAAAACCGTAGATCAGCAACTGGTCTCCATGGTGTCAGGTTGCTGCATGGCAATGCTTCGTCTCACAAAGCGGCCATTTTACGAGAATATCTTAAACAGGAAAAGGTTGTCGAGCTTCTTCATCCTACTTATTCACCAGATCTTGCCCCTTGTGACTTTTTTTCCTATTTCCGAGGCTCATTCACCACCTTGCTGGAAGAAATATCAAACGCTTAAAATCTGTTCGGCTATTTTCCAGTGCCCGAACAGTATAACTCGAAAATATTATAAAAACGCATTTAAAAATTGAATTAAAAGACTAAAACTTCGTATATCACATGGTGGTGAGTATTTTACAGGATTGAGATTATTATTTCGGCACTGTTTGTTAAGCACTTCTAAAATTAACCCAGTCGCTTTTATATTTAAACACCCCTCGTAATTCTATTTCCAGTAGTTAATAATATATTTTTTCAGATCCTCATGCTGATAATATTTAAATTGATTTGCTTCTTTGAGTACTTTAAAGGAGGTGACTTCATAATCACTTGGCAGAAAAATTTATCTTTTTGTCCGACCTAATCTTTTGATAAAAATTGTTTCATTATAGCGTTAGCTAGCCTATTTTCGCCGTATGTTTAAAAACTACAACAAAAAAGAACAACAAAAAAACAAAAAAAAAACAATACAACAACAACAAGATAAACAACAATAAAAAACCCCAATAGCGAATGTTCACTTTATTTTTGTGCTAAATGACCCAAGAACGAAACGCTTTTCAATCAAATCGGGCTAAAATCGCACACAAAAAAGATCGATCATTTAATTTTGAGTATATTTGTTTATTATCCTTTGCAGATGTGCTTCACATAATTTTTGTAAGAATTTCATAGTTTATGTTTTAAATGTTTTTTGACCTTATATCTTCAATAATTGCACACAGATGCGCACAAAACCTCCCACTCGAGGTTAGTTACTAAAGTTAAAGTCTTATAGTCTTAGTTTTAATTCAATTATTTCTGTTTCAAGTAAACACTTTTTGAATACTCATATGGCGTATAATTATTTGCGGGAACATGCTCGTTTTCTCGTGTTGAGCATAAAGTATAAAAGCACAACTCGGTGTGTTTTAAGACATTTGAGGCTTTACAACTGAAAGCGTAACTTATCTTTTAGTATGTCCGACACGGTAATTTCAATAAGGATGAAATTGTCACAGAATGTAAAGATTTCTTTGACTTTAAGTTTACAATCTTGAAAAAGAATTTCACGGAGATAACTAAATGGAAGAACGAGAGTGTTCGGAACAAGGTGCGTGCCGACAATTTAGTTTTATTTAGTAGTGCTGGTAACAAGAACTTCAACACTGAAGGATGCCGTTAGAGGACCAAAGAGTTAAAAGAAATGCCTCTAAGGCTATAGGTTATAGTTTAGAGGTTCAAGAGAAAATCAAACATAGAAACACGATTATAAGAATTGCACAAAGCTCTTCTTTTTGCTGGCCTGTTGTCTCTGAATACGAGAAAAATGATATAGCCAGTAACAGCGATGACGATAAAAAAAAATCTGCCATGCATTGGACCGGGTGTTTCCAAGTTTGAGAGGCAAAGAAAGCTAGGGAGAGTTCTGGTTTCAATCCAAGATAATATTGTGAGTAGAAATACATGTATATGTTTAAATAATCTTGAGATTTACCCCTGAATGCTAAATTTAGCTAAAATTAATTTTATGTAAAGATAATTACATAACTGTGTAATATCCGTGTCATTAAAAAGATACCAATAGTGGTTAACGGTATATTTACCTCCTTCATTATCAACTTTACTTGTATTGTAATATGGTCGGATTTTGCGAAAGATGGGTACGTCAACGATGATTTAAAGGAGTGTTTAGCTCTTTCCTTGTCTTTGGGACTGTGAATAATTTGATATTTTATCATTGAGATACTTTTAGTGTTTTTGATATCAGTATACATTATAATTAAATTGCAAATTGTAATTAAGTTGTCCAATTCTTTAAATTCATACTGGTCGTCCAAGTGCTCCATATCTATATAATTTTCCGTGTGAAATTTTTATAATTTAGTGTTTGTTGCTATTATTAGGATATAATATGATTTAAGATGTAATATGATTTTCCTCGGTTGAACGACAAGGGAAAAATTATATTCAAACGATTATGAAGTTCCCGTGTATTGCACACTAGACAGTGATCGGCCAAATGCTCTTTACACATAATACAAAATGAAACAGTATTTTAGTGTTTGTTGTTTACAATTAGGATACAATACGAGTTAAGAGGAACAACTATGTTCTATATAAATACATACCGCTTAAATGTCACCGGAAACAGGTAATACCAAAGTCAGGACTTATATGCTAATAGCTCAATTCTCAGGGAACCGGGTCGATTTTCTTCAGTTGTTAAACATCTAACAGGCTCTAAATTCGCTATTAATACATTACATCTTTTCAATAACAGCACACAAATTAAATGAAATTTTTGTCATTGACATGCATATTATATGAAGCACCATACCCCCACCACAGATACAACGAGAATTGGCTGGTATATCGAAATCCTCTAAGAGCTGCTGGATATCAACTTAGTGTTTATATTGTAAATTAAGCTAAACTTGACTCATCACGCCCTCTATTATAGATCCTGTAACTTAATTTCTTTATTGTTTTATATCATAAATATGATGCTCAAATTAAGATTTATTAATTTTGTAAGTTCCAAAAAGCATTTTGCCAAATTTAACATTTCATAAATAAGTGAGGTTATAAAATTTTTATTTTCTATAAAGTCTAAGTCAAATTTTTCAATAAGAAATGAATCCATATATTTTAATGATTACATATATGTACAAATAATTGCAGGCCATATTTTACATATTCTTCGATGTTTGAAAATTGTTTTATACGCATAATTATATACATATATATAATTTCACTTAAGTGTGGTATACAACCTCAAATACAACATACAGGATCTTAAAACAGCTCATCTGGACAGACAGAAGCTATCCTTCGGGCGTAAAAACCCAGACAATCATGCTTAACATGTTATTTTTACCAAATTGTTCATTTATTTATATTAGCTAGGTTAAGCAAACAAACAATATGTCCTTTTGCAACTTTATTGTCAATGTTAAGCATTTATCTTTTAATAACGGTATCATTAAAACTCAATACTTCGTTTCTCTCTATTTTACTTTATATATTTTTGAAGGCTTAGTGTAGTTCATTGTATTTAAATTCGGCGAACCATCATCGATGAGGATTTAAATGCGATCCAATCTGTGAAGCCCCTATGAACAATTCCCAATTGCCATCCGCTTCCAAGAATTGTGGCAGTACCCGGAGTTGCATACTGACCATTGAGATTAACCCAGTAACACCATCTATGCCACCATCCTGATTGGGTTACTACAGCGCAATTGTCTCCGAAATTTTGGTCGTTGTCGGAATCAACGGTTGTGAATGGCATACCATTGTTGTAACCTAAATTGGCCCATGTAGCTGCAATAGAGTTTTGTGAAAATAGGTTTATGATTATCTAAACAAATTGTCTCAATGTTAATTATTTATACTCGTAACAACATTAGTAACATATATAAACTACATTGATAATTTCTTTTAGTATATAAATATATCTAATTGATGGAACCAAAAACGTTTAATCTCATGAAAGTTTGTACAGATTTTATTTTTTATAAACCAAAGCCATACAAACAAGTGGAGTTCCGCTTGCGGCACCAATGTTCAGGACATACAATGAAGTTGTCAGAGAGAAATCCATGTACTCGCGGTAGAAAAAGTTATCGTCTACATCTATCAGATGAATCCTTAGCTTTGTCTGACCTTGAGCCGCTATCTCTTGTACATGTTTTAAACCTGAAATGAGAATCATTTTAATATCGCTGTACAGTCCGCTTTCATACATTTGAAAAAAAAACCCACAACAAATCAACAACGATTTCACAATAATGAACAAACCATTTCAATTGTACTATAAATTTGCATTATTGCCGATCGTTGGTAATTGATTTATTTTCTATAAAATAATAACACAATTATCTGGGTGTACCAAAATTTATTTCATTAAAAAAATTAACATATTTTTGTGATTTAAACTTCTGGAAAAGTATTGGACAGGTTTTGTTTTAGTGCATTTTGCAAGTTTGTTTAGGCTTAAAGAACATATAAAACTCTTATCATTAAATAGAGTTGCAGAGAAGTATATAAATAACTTGTAATTATATAGAAACTTCTTTAAAGAACTGATAAGATATATAGCCGTACACGTGTGTTGAATTGAAACAAGTTAACTTAATATTTTGTTCTTTTACAATAACTTACCGAGCCAAAACTCATAACTTAGATCACCAAAACCATTTTCATACTCGGAAAGAACTCTATTGAAATCAAGACTGCCATCCAAACGATTTTGAAAAACCTAGACAAAAGGTTTGAGATAAAAGCAGTTAATGATACCATAAAAGTAATGTATTTCTTTATTACATTATTACACTATATTAAATTAACCTTCGAAGATTGAAACTTATGGAGATACATATTATATAGATCTATTATAATGTTCAACTTATGTATAAACACACTTGAATAATACGTTAAACTCATCCGTGAATTTTGATAAAAGAAATTTACTTACTGTCCATCCACCACCATCAGTTTGCATGTCACAGTACACGTCTATGATAGTGTTCGTTGACCAGAGAGTTATTGGATATATTCCACTTGTAGTAATTCCTGCATTAAGCAGGTCAAGACAATCGGTTGCATCAACTGTAAAAACTATTGAAGAAATGGGAAATTATCAGAGTTGCATAATACAAAGTAAGTAAAAATAGGTTTAAATCCTTCGGTATATTGTTTTCGAAATTATACATGCTGCAAAAGAACAAACACCCAAAAATCTCTTAAATAAATTACGATACGTTTAGTTAGGAATGTGTTATATCAATGTGTTTTTGTTCGCAAAACAATTGTGTTAGACACGATTACTCAACTTACCGTCGCAGTTATATCCTTCCCAAAAAGCAGGACAAGAACACGTGTAATTGGCCACCAGGTTGTTGCACGTGCCACCATTCTGACACGGATTCGATTCGCACTCGTCTATATCTACATTTGAAATTTACTTAATTAGTATTCAAGGTAATTATATGGATATAAATATGAGTATATTACAAAAGTAACTCAAACTATGAAGAATATATCCTTTTTATGATTTAACAACTTTTCAGTTAAGATCTGCATCGGGTATTCCATTACAAGCTAATATATTTTAAGAAAAGTTTTGAATATCACACCTGTGCATCGTCCTATATCCAACCCGTTGCATGTGATGTTGAAGCAGAAAAATCCCTCAGGGCACTGAATCATGAAAGATACATATTGTTACAAGTTGTTGCACGACTGTATCCCAAATGCTAACAAGCATTAAAATAATTCTATGATTAAAAACTTATTCATAATTGGAGCAATCAAATAATATATTTTTCATTTAAGAAAAGAAATGGAATAGTTTATCACAGATAAGGACGTTTCAAATAATATGATTTTATTGTTGAAAAGAGAAAAGACTTACAGGTGGACGCTCTGATGAGCATAGTATTGCAAATGATGTTTCAGCACTGATCAAGACAGCGAACAACTGAAATTCATTGAATAATTTGAATAAAGGTATTTTTGAAAGAATTCAGATGCCTTTAATTATTTCTTTAATTTTTTTTTTTGTAAAAATTATTTAAATTTTATAAAGAACATATATCATCATAACAAAATCCTCCAAAAAAGAACCGAATTATTTATATTCCTTTTTACTGTGTTAATGCCACAACCGACATACATATACATTTGTTTTATTCACTCTTTACATAAATTTGTCATGACAAAATAGAGAAAATATGTGAAACTTTAAGCAACATGCCTCCAGATTCGTTTATTTTCATGAAAATTTGAAAATGTTTTAAAAAGTGAACCATTGTAAAATGAGCAAAGAAAGTAATTTAATACATGTGCATGTGTAATTGCAAGCAGCGTTTACAATCCACGTAAATTACAAAAAATATGGTCAACATATGCAAAAGTAGCCCCTACTGCGTTTTTCAAACAGTAGAAATATGGTGATTAATACTGAACAATCATTTATGCATCGCACATAACATGTAAACATTATTTGAATCTTTAAACTTTTAATTTTTAACAATCTAAGTACATTATCCTAGATTTTTTTGAATTATGTTCGCTCATCTGTAGGCATGATTCTTTAAAATAAATTTAATGTTATAAAATGAAACACTCACTGAATAATTTTTGAAATACCTTTAATTAAATTAGTGGTTTTACATATGATAATGTAAATATTATAACTAGAATTAATGATTGAACAAGAAATAATTTAGTATTCTTTATATCATCAAGGAAATCGAAAGCAACATAAATACGAATTGTAATAAATTTGTTCTGAATTTCTGAAACAATTTAGTATTCTTTATATCATCAAGGAAATCGAAATCAACATAAATACGAATTGTAATAAATTTGTTCTGAATTTCTTTGAAGTTATCCGTTTGTTTGAACACCTTTGATTTCCCTGAAGATAATTTCACATAATTGAAATCAAAGATGTATACTTTGTCAAATAATGAAAAATACTAAGATCGCCTTGAAAATAAAATAAAATAACTTACTGCGATATATACTCTAGATGAAAACATCGTCAAAGTCCAAATCTGAAGTTATTGAAAGTTTCTGCTGATAGATTGAAGGTATAGTTGTTGCGGATTCTGTTTGCACAATATATACTGGTTTGAATATAAAAACACCATCATCTGCCTCAAAATTATAATTGTAATTTAACATGCCCATTTGAATAAATTGATAATAACCAGTTGTTGCCATTCGCCGAAAACGTCGTACTGCCATGAATAAATTTGAGTAACATAAGTTGTTTACAAGTTTTCCCAAGCTGTTGAGAAGATTTTAATGAAATCCTAAAATGGTTACAGTGTGAAAACTGAAATGGTAAAACAATGAAACATTGAAAACATTTTAAGCTTTCAACAGCTTGGAAAAGCTTGTAAACAACTTATGTTGTAAACAAATAGTTTGTCTTATCACATAAACCGCGACGCAGGAGTGTAATAAAAACATTTAATAAAAACGATATTAGTCTGTCCTACCAAATGAATATTTCAGTTTTCATAAAATATTATGGTAAATTAATTTAAATTAATATCATGTTAACCCTGACGTCAATATTTCTAGGCATGGTTTTCTTTCCTTTTTTAAAGTCAGTTATATGGTCAAAATTGTAAAAATTATATTTTTCCCGTTAACATACGTTGTAACCTGATGTGAAGTCCAATTTAAAATGGCGGCGCCCATACTGACGTCATTTATGGTTCGTCTCACAATTTGTGTGAAATGTGCTCGGTAATTATAAAAATTTGATTAGTCTTATTTTATGTTTTACAGTGGATTACTGATTTATCCGTGAAAATTATATTTGATAATTTCATAGTGAAAATTATCAAAATATAATTTCACACTTTTCAATGACGAAAGTACTTTTTAAGATTTTCCCCATTGGTACTTCAATTTAATTTTTGCTGTCAATTCTGACAATGTCAGGGCTGTTTAGAGAAAAGGAAAGCTGAAATTGATAAAAAATTTAAATGTCACAAGTAATAAAAAGACGAAAACTTATTTCTATTCATTTAAATTACCAATCACCAAATATCGTCTCTAATTTTTTTTGTTTCATTTTTACAGTCTGAAAAATACATTCCACATTCCTTCCGCATGCAACTGCTCTTGAGGACATTTTGGCATATTTAAGTATCCTGCGAGCAGTAACTGCAGTTTGCTTTATGAAAATTTGAAAAGCAATGACAGCCATCAGCCCGAAGAATAAGTAAACAACCCAGCGTTCATAAGGTAGCCTTTCAACAATTCCATATTTTCCAATTTCCTAGCCGCTTTTTGAATGTTTACACATCTCTCAACACTTATTTATTATCTGTTATAATTCTCAAATAAGTTTTCTTTCTTCTAAAAAGATGTATGACCAACAAATCCAATTTGAATTGAACACAAATATTTTCCTCCCGTGAAATACACAACTTTTAAAAATGGCAGCCGCTTACATTTCACAAAGCCAGGTCTAATATAAATTCGCAGTAAGTAACATAAATAAGGATGGATGGTTGGACTTTTTCTTTTTCTAGAATTGTTTGTTTTTATTTTTAAAACAAGCGATCATTCATTTTTTAATAAAATGAATAATATCACCGCCATTCAACGTTCATTTTTCAGCCCAAGAGTTTTTGTATTTAATGAGAAATTCGACTAAATGAGGCTACCAATGGGGAAAACAGATCAACGTTAGAGAATTAACTTTTTTAAGCATAAAGTAAAAAGAAACGTTGCTTGCTTTGTTGTGTAAGATGTAATTTTATTTCTCGTGAACTTTAAAAACAGTATTCTCACTCGTGGCTACGCCACTCATGAGAATACTTTTTTTAAAGCCCACTAAATGAAATAAAATTTCATCTTACAAACAAACAAATATCCTCTATTTATTTACTTACTGATCAATATTTAAATGATACGAAAAAGACAAATATTAAATATTATCATAAAAATGAAAAATGAGAAACAAAGTTGGTGTAAAAAAGGCAATTTTACTAGTAGACCATAGTTTAAAATAATCGCCAATTAAAATAATTTTTATTGAAATACCAGTAACCTCTTTATAAATTCTTACATACAACAGATTTATATAATTATAATGCTATTCTGTCGTATCTTACATTCATAGTAACGAGCAAAAGAGCAAAGAAGTGATTTAATTAGGTAGCTTTTCAATTAAGAGCGTATCTTTCAAGAAAACCTCAACTGAACGGGGACTAAAAATATTCTTTATGACCTTCCAAGTAAACTTAACTAAATAACTAAATCATAATTATATCATACAGTTATGAATCGTAAATTATTTTTTATTTGCTAATGTTTAATTCACATAATTCTGTAGTCTATAGTCCATTAATATATATCAAGTGTAATAAGAAAATAATTAAAATGACCAGATCCGATGGGATACAAAATGTTACCCTTCTTATTTCGAAGCGCGATGTTCGTGCGCTAGAAATTGCACACAAATTCTACATTATCATGCAAATCTGGAAAGAAATGTATAGAAAGGGGCACTGATTCATTATATTTTCAGCATTGGTTTGATTGTATCTACAGTTTCTACTTAAATTAGCTCCCTCGATAATGAGTTAATGAGAAAACAGATTCGTGCGCGGGGAAAATGTAAATTATAATAATTTCTTTTGTGTAAATAAAAACATTCAATAGCAAAGCACAGATGTGAAGTGATTGTTATTTACCAAATGATTTAAATATGTATAAAATGTTTCCATACCCTTTGATTGACCATTTTTTTCTGCTTAGTGTGACTCAATTGCTAAGATCTGTTTAATTGACAGGCTGTTTTTAAAGTTTGAAGGGGTAATCTTTTAAACATTCATAATGGGTATTAAACTAACCATTACTTACCATTCATTATTTACAATTGTAGCCAATTAATAATTAAACCTTTAAACTGTATACGGTCTAAACAAATAAATTGTTTACTGTCTGAACCTATGTAACAGAAAAAAATGTCACTAAAAAGTATTTTATTATTACTATGAATATTTATTAAAGAAATTGTATTTGAAATATATTTAAATAGTGTTATTGTGTTATATGTAAGTCATTTTGTATGACAGACACACAAATCTAGTGGTCTGCATTATAAATGTAAGAGGAGACAAATGAGATAAAGTATTTCTTGCAAAGTATTGAACTTCTATAATTGTTAATGCATTTTTTAAGGGTGGTCATGCGTCACCGTCAAGCACATGAAGATTAGCATCACAGTCTGTGGGAATCTCCAGTTTCCAGATGTAGTACAGTACAGTGTGATCATAACTGTATAGGCTAAATAACTGTTCAACCATAAATACTTGGGACTAGTTGGGCTATTCTAGAGGGCAAGTCCAAGTTAGCACTTCAGTTGAATTCCCTGTCTATAGGGTTGTGTTGAAGGAAAATGTTAAATCTAGCTGTTTTGGCTTCAAACAAAACCATCACACTTACCCAGCAGTGATAAATTAAATCAATGGTGAAAATTGGTGATATTCTGACTCATTTCCCCAAAAGCTTCCATGAATTGAAGCTCCTGAGACTTGTGTAACATATGACTGCACATTCCAATTTATTAAAATTTTGCGTAATGTTTAGCAATGACATACATTCAGAGCTAGCATACTTCATACTGTATGTCAATGAAACCTGATTTCTGATATAACTCAAAAGGTACAAAAGCAAGGTTCATCACACTTGTATCTGATATAGAACCATATGGAGATTTAGCATGTTATTATAATTTATGCTCCCAAAAATTTGTCTGTATGGACTCAAGTAATATTATAGATAAATATCCGTGTTCATTCCGTACAGATATATACTTGTGGGGAAAAAGGTTGCTCATGGGAGGAAAATATGTTTCTTATGGTGTTTTTGATATTTAAGATGATTAAAGAAAAAACTCACATTGTGAACTTGGGAAGACTAACACTCTTGTCCGGAATATGAATATAACTAGATACCTATTGAAGGGGGTTTATGTTAACTTCACAAAGTGATAGAGACTTTTGAGAGGAAGTGCAGTGGTCAAGAAACATAACTCTACCTTGCTTATTGTTTTATGTATCTCCCTTAAGTTAGAAATGCTTATTTGGAGTTTAACTTCCAAACTATCACTGAAACTACACCCAGTTGCACAAACTCGAATTTGTCAAAGTGTCAAAGAACCATAACTACATTCCTTAGTTTTTAAATTATCACCCTTTATAATACATGTACTTAATAACGCTTGTCCAGAGAAATACTTGAAAAGAGTTGATGGAATTTGATTAAAATTTTACACAGCGAAAACATCCAAGCTAAAGGAATTGTAGTTTAAAAGAACCATAATTTTTCATAGCTTAATTTTCAATTATCATCTCTTATAATATATTAAAATTTGAAATATTTATTGTCTGGAGTATATCTTTTAAATGATATCTCACTTAAACAAAACACAGTTGTAGAGACTAGTGAGCTGAACGCTGTGTCAAATAACCTAAATTCTACATAACTTGGTTTTTGAATTATCTCCGTTTATATTATTTCATGATACATGCACTTATTCAGAGAGAGGATAAAATTTTTGAAGGAATTTGATTGAAACTTCACACAGTGAAAGAGATAAGCATGAGAAGTGCAGTGTACAAAAGCCATCATCAGTTTTTATGACATGGCCACATTAATAAGAAGTGATGCAAAATATTGACAATTTGAGTGTTTACTTGATACTGATACAGAAATATATTCATATCATAATTGATTATTTTTTCATTGTTTTGTCTCCCTTTATTATGTCATGTGTTAAAAATGTCGAGCTTGCAGTTTCCTCTGGCAGCTCTTATTTCACTTGTTGCTCTTGTCAAAAAGGCCCTATAACAGTTTGTGATGGACCTACATCTTTATTATATTTGAACATGTATGTCATAAAGTAATTGTATCAACTACTGTTCATTTACTGAATTATGTACTTTATATTTATCAACCGGCAACACCCTTCACTCATTGAATTATCTGCCCCCGAAATAGTAAAAAATGGTAATTTTGACCCTTCAAGTGCGTTCCAACTGCAGTGCCTTCAGCACTTTGATTAAAAAGCCTAATCATTACTAAAAAAATAGCTATGCCCGTTAAATTTCAGAAACATTTTCTTGTTGTTGTTTTGTTTAATTTTTTTTCGTATGTCGTCAAATGAATTCCAAAATTTTCGTATAAGATTGATTCTTAAAAAAGGAAGGAACAAAAAAGTCAGATTTACGTTTGTCTTGCAAGAACCGTTTTTTTAGGTTTGTGTTGTTTCTTCTTTTTCATATTAGCGTTCTTGCTCATTCTGCTTGACTTGGCATTGCAAAATTAAA